ATTATTACGTAATGAAATTTTTATGTTAACAATAGCAAAACTAAAAATAAAGAAAAAAAATTTTTAATCTTTTAAATTCTTGAAATTTAATATATAAAAGATAGCAGTATCTTATTTGAAAAATTTAATATTTTTACAATTTTGTAACAGAATTTATCAATAAAAAAAATATAACCATTAGTGTGGTAAAGAAAATTCTCAAATAAATAAAAATAAGAATTAAAAAAAATTACAAAAATTATAAAAAAATTAATGCTAAAAAAATATTATTTTCCTGAGAAAAGTGGATTTTAACTTAAATTTAAATTGTGTCATACTAAAAATATGAAAAAATATGTATAAAAAAAAAATGAAATATTGTGTTTTTGCTAAATGAATAAACTAATTTTTTAACGAGAAAATTATATTAAAAATAAAAAAAGAAATTTTAAAGCAAAATAATATGTTATTGTTTTTAAATAAGAAAATCGGGGGTTTCCTTCATATTTCTGCTTAAATTTGAATTAACATTTTATTTTCAAATTTAAAATTTTAATATTATTTTAAATATAAAATATCTAACTTCAAGTCGGAACAAAACCATTTCTACTACTTAAAATGAAATAAAAAAATATGCGATTTTTCTCTTTCTTTTTATAAGAAATTTTGTTTTTATCATTAAAAAAATACGAAAACAAAATTCATGCACAAAATTTGCCAGAACACAGCGAAACGGCAAGTACTGAAAAAAAAACGTTTACTGCTTGTAAACAAGTTGCTGTCTTCAGTCTTTAGTTTATCGCGCCAGAATCGCATGCATTCGTACATACATATGAGCTTGCGCAGCTAAATGCAATTGGAAGTGGGTCAAATTTGCTGCTATATGAGCAAGCAAAAACAAAAACACACATACATACGTATGAGAAGATAAGCTTACAGACATACATGTACATATATATATTTTGAAACAAAAGTAATATATAAATATATGTATATTGCCTTCATACATGCATGTACAAAGGCAAATATATGCATTACTATTTATTAAATTTTAGAAAAAATATATTGACACTTCACCAACCCGCCACACAACTACTTTAGCCACGATTTTCATGCAACATGGCGTGCAACATAAAACTGTAATGATTTTGCGCCATAAATAAAGTTAGAAGACTGCAACGGAAATGGTCACAAGAAGCTTTACTTGCCTTATACCAACGTGCCACATCAATATTGATGGCACGAGAAAGCTATGAGTGCTGTTGAAGTTTCTCATCTTACTTGCCGCACTTGTAATAAAAGCAATTTGTCTTGGGAATATACTGGCAAAGAAGTCATAAACATTCGTTTGTATAGGTAGGAGTTACATTTAACTATATGGCAGGTAAATTTTCGCGCAAAAGTGCAAAAATCTTTTAAAAGCAAGTTTTTAACCTATTAATTGTTGGTTTGAACRATATGTAATGACAATTTTGTTGTTTAAATTTTTTAATTAAAATTGTTTAATTTTTTTAATTACAAAATTTTAATTTAATTAACTTTTTAAATTAAATTAATTTGTTTTTTAATATTTTAGAACGGCAAGGTTTTTACATTTTTGAAATATTACTTAACTTTTTTMACAAATTTTTTATTTTACAATTTTTTTTAAACTTTCATCAACCTATTAATATTTTAAAATAATTTGCATTTTTTGCTATTCAATCTTTTCGAATGCAAGCTTTTTTGAAATTCTATGAAATTATCGAATTTTTTCCCAAAATTTTAATATTAAAAAATATATACAATTCTGATATATGTATTGCTTGATTTTGAAATTGTTTAACAAATTTAAGAAATTTTCAAGTTACTTGTACGATTTAAGTTTTTAATATTATGTAATATAGCCAAAAAGGAGATTTGTTCATACAAGTCACCACGACCACAAAATTTTTACCTTTCACAACTTATTTGCCAATAATCTGTCTAAATTCGAAACACTTAATCAACAACTTTGAGTATTATTAACATTTTTAAGCGGCAAACTCGATCACTTTTAACCTTTCTTAGTTTCGAGTAGAAACTCCAAAGACTTAAGCAACAACGTTTTTTTTTAACATTTTCTTCACTTTCTTCCCACAAATCAAAAGACTTAAGCAACAAATTTGTCTTTTATCAAAATTTTCTTAATTTTTTCCCGCTTGAATTCAAAAGACTTAAGCAACGAGCTCGATCCTTTCCACAATATTCTCAAAGTTTCTTTTTAAATGCAAAAATTCAAAAGACTTAAGCAACGAACTTGCCACCTCGCGTCCATCATTGTCCATCATATTCAAATTAAGGTATATAAAACTATTTTTATCCGAGTTCTATAAACCATTATTTTTATTTTTATGTCTTCACACACACTAAGAGCTGCATATTATCACAATGCTGGTTGGCTGTCAGCCATAAAAATAGGTTCATTCGCCAGCTCCATAAGGCTGCAACACCTAAATTGCTCAGCAATTTCGTGCTATTAACTTAACACGCATGGAAACTGTTAAGTAAATGTTTGTTGCACGCGATGCTGGGGCAGTGCATAGAGGCTGCGATATGTTGTGGCAACAATTGCGACGTTTGAAAACTTATTATTGGTAACGTTTTTTTTTGTGCCGGGGAGTTTCAAAAAATCTGAAAAAATTTAGAAATTTTCTAATTTTGAAAAAAATTTTAATTATTATACAGATTTTTTAAATTTTCTTTACAGGAAATTTTTTAATAATATAGAATCTGTCTCTTATACACATCTAAAAAAAAGACGTAGATGAGTTGCTGGCCAGCTGCAATGTATTACCGCGAGCGCCGACGCACACACATGCACTTACATTTGG